ATCATACCCAGTGGAATGTTGGCGCCGGTGCCAAATTTACCCCCCCCCAAGCACTTGCCAGGAATTGCACAAATACCCAATTCCACAAGCAGTATGCATGCACGAGCTATGTATCCAGACGGACGCGTGGGCAACAGAATGTGCGATTGGCAATATTTCTAGGGTGAAAAAAAAGTGCGCTCGGAGATGGGAAGAAACCAGAAGCCGGAGAACTTTTAACGTCGCGGCGCGGCAGAGGCAACCCGCTCGCGCCTCCGAGCGAGACCGGGGCACGGCGTCGCGAATCAACCCGCATGCGAGGGCAAAGGGGGAGGAGGCGAGGGGGGCGGCCGCGGAGGGCGGGAGCCGGGCGCGGGGGGCACTCTCACGCAGCGGGGCTGCGGCGAGCGCGCGGGGGCGGCAGGGCTGAAGGGCAGCCCCTGGCAGCTGTCACGGGGCGGCGTCGCGATGCACCCAGGGGCGGGGCCGGCAGCCGCCGTGCGGGTGGAGCCCAAAACGTGGGGGAGGGGAGCAGCGGGCGGCCGGAGAACCAGGGCGCCAGGCGGGGAGGGGGCAGCGGCGCGGGGACTGGCGGCGGGCCAGGGGCAGAGTGCGCCAGCGCTGCAGCAGCAGCTGCGGGAGCGGCCCCGAGGCGGAGAGCGGCGGGCAGAAGCTGAAAGAGAGGACACGACAGGAAGTCTGCATGCTAGCTCTGGTAACAAGAGCGGCCCCCTGGGAAGGCAGACGGTGGGCTGAGTGGAGAGAAGACGAGGATGAAGCAAAACGAGTGAAAGTGATTGGTCGGCGGTGGACAAACCTCCCTTTAGTTAACCTCCCCTTGATGAAAAAGACCTAGGGCCGAACTCGACGGACCTGGACCCGCAAAAATGACGGCCGCGACGCCCTCTCGCGAACCGAAAACGGCCAATTCTTTAATCGACGCGTCAGGGTAGGAGGTCTGTCGACCTCCAAATTGGACATCCCTGGCCAGGAACCCCTGGCCAGGAACATTTCTCCTCATGCTGCGGAGGGGGCTGCTGTTACTCCTGCTGCTCAGGATTTCCTCCTTCCCGAGCCGGGCGCGGAGTTGCTAGAGGGCTCACCGCGCCTTTCTTGAAATGGCCCTCGTACGAGTCTCCATTGGGATATGCCTCGGCAGAGAAGGGCACAGCCCGACACAAACTTCTGGCAGAAGGCAAAACACACTATAGCTCACCACCTCTCCTGATTTCTGGAAGCGTTGCCACATCCGCAGTACCATTTCAACTCAATGCGCCCGAACACACCACTTGTGGAACACCAACGATGCAATTACCATCATCAATACACTGCTGCACAATATGACGGCCATCGTATGGGGACACTAAACAACACGTTAGGAAAACCCGTGTAGGCCTCCGCATGATAATTGGTGATCCACTATCGCGTCACGACTACTACCACGTTCCACAGGTGCCGATGTTACATCAAGGACACTCCCAGACATTCTCCGATCTGGTTGTTCATTCCGCGGCCCCCGACCCATCTCCAAGGGGTAGTGTTGCATCCCAGATCCATTTTGTTGGTGGTCCCGCGGCTCGATAACGGACCACAGAGGCCGAAACCAAGGTACAAAAAAACGGATCGAGCAAAAACATATCGTCGGGGATCTTGGCTGCCCACTGGTCGTTGATTCTCTCTCTCGCCTCTCAGAACTCTGGTCATTCCATATTCCCTCTCCCCTCTCCATCCCTCTCTCCTCTCACCTCTCTGCGCGAACCCCTCCCACCGCTCCCGCTCTCTTCCTCGCCCCCCTCCTGCTCCACTTTTCTCCTCCTACTTCTGCTGCTCATCCTCAGCCTCCCTTTCCGACGACGACGCATGTTCTTGCGACATGGGCCCCCAAAGGATCTCGACCCTGGGACCGGTTTTTCTGACTCATTTCTTGACGGCCCCGGGCTCGGGGAACCCTCCCCGTACCCTGCACCCCTCCTCCCTCCCTTTTCCTTCAAAAGCTTCCCCTGGGCATCGTTTAACTGGCCACTATCCCCATTGGCGTAGCCTGGGGCCCACTGCCCGATGTACCACCCTTGTTGATAGGGACGTAGGCCGTTTCGAGGGCCAGATCCCCCACGTGAGTTGCTGAGATGCTGGGGGGGGGTCTGAACGGGGATGGGGATGGGGATAAAGGGTCGGGCTAACGATGCTGAAAGCGGGCGCGCCGTGACGGTCGGTCATGGCTTCCGCGTGAACAGTCATCGAAAAGAGGAACAAACAACGGCATAAACATACATTCTTGGTGATCCTCGCAGATTCATTGGATCCGTGCTGGATCCCCCTCCCTGGCGCGCGGAGCGCGCCAGGGGCGGCGCTGGAGGCGCCGCGAGGAGGTCCCAGCGAAGATCCAAGACATCCGCGCGGGCCGCGACCGAAAATATGGTGGTGCCGTTTGTTGTTCTTCGATCGAACGCCGTCGTGCCACCAATCTTGCGGAAGCCCTCCCATGTTCAGTGGACAAAAACTCCAATCAACCAAAAAAGGGACAACCCAGCGAGGATCCGGACAACTCGACCGGACAGTCCCCCTTGTCGGTCGTTGCCAGAACTGGGTTTAGCGGGAGCTGGTTTAGTGAAGTCTACTGGGGGACGCCCCCCCCGCCCCGTTCCACTAACCGGAACTGCCGTCACCCGAAAAAGTACCAGCTGCGGCAGACCTGGTTTAATGATTCTGGCCAATTTAAGGGGCTCCAAGGCCCTATCACTAACCGGGCCCCCTTGCCTGGGGTTCTGGCTATACCCGACCTTGGACAAACCTCCCTTGAGATCTTTTTTCTCCGCTCGTTCCACATCTCCCACTTCTGGGTCGCCGGCGGCGCTCAAAGTCGAGCGCCTGCGGCGGGGTCGCCGCCGCTCGACAGCACGCGGACCTGCCGCCACTGGGCGACAGTTTTGCTGGTGGGCCGGTCATCGGAAGTGGCGATCCTGGAGCCGCGCTTTCGCCTCGGCGCCGCAGGCGCCTAATTCAGAATCAGAAGCAGCTCTGGCACTCTCTTGCGGCCTTGCATGGAGGACGGGGGGTCAGGGGAGATAGGATGAGAGCGGTGGAAGGGGGAGGGGAGAGGAAGAATAATCAGGGATGGTGGAGAGGATGGGAGGATGGAGGGAGAGGCAGGAGTACGGAGGAGTCGAAAGGAGGGACGAAGGACGGAGGGACGGTGGGAGCAGGCAGGAGGGAGGCACGGTGAGGGAGGCAGGAAGGGGAGGGGTGTAAGATGGCTGAGGGGGGCGGAGGACGGTGGAGGAATGAGGAGCGGCTAAGAGATGAGCCAATGACTGAGCGAGGGAGGAGGAAAGACGGCGGGTGGGAGAGTGGGAAGGATGGGGGGGGCGGAGGAGGAAAGAGAGAGGAGGGAGAAGGCGGAGGGCGAGGAGGAGAAGGATAGCAAAGGGAGCCCGAGGAGGTGAAACGGTGGGAGGAGGGGCGAATAAAGAATGGACGACGAGGAACTAAAGGAGGAAGAAGGAGGGGGAGGAGAGGGGAGAGCGGGACCTGGAACTGCACGACGAGGGGGGGGGAACACGGCGAGAAGGAGGAGGAGGAGGAACGAGAGATGCGGCGGAGAGAAGGGCAGGGAGGCGAGAGAGAACAGGGAGAGTCGGGGGGAACTGGCAAACATCAAGTTGTGGGCCCCAGAGTTCTCAACCCAATCACCCAGGACCGTCATTTACGTCAGATTTACTATGTTGTGATGGCCCTGGGCCTAGAACAGGCCTCCAGCACACAAAGCCTTGCCCAGGGAAGCAAGCGGCGTGGGGGCATCCTGGCCCTCCACTCCTGCTCCTGAGCATCCCTTCCTCCTCCTGCTCCTAATCCCCTCCCTTCCTCCTCCCTTCCTTCCTCCTCCTCCTCTCCTCCTCCTCATCCCCTTCCTTTCCTCCTCCCCTCCTCCTCCTTCCGATCTTCCTTTCCTTTCCTTTCCTTTCCTCCTCCTCCTCTGCCTCCTCCATCTCCGGCGGCGACGACGAAGGAGACAGAGAGGTGACGACGGCGGGGCCAAGACGGCGGCGGCGAAGACGACGGCGGCGGCGGCGGCGATGACGGCCGCGGCGGCGGCGGCCACCCGTGGCGCCTCGCGGTGGAACCCGTGCAGGAGCGCCATGGGCGCGCCCGGGGGGGGGGGGGGATGCGCGGCGCTCGCCCCGGTCCCAAAAGGGGGCGGGGGCGAGCGCGCCTCAAATTCTGCGGCTGGCGTCGCCGCCATGCTCGCCCTCGTCGCCGCAGCAGCCCCTCGTCGCCGCCGCCGCCGCCCTCGTCGCCGCCGTCGCCGCCGTCGTGACCGTCGTCGCCGCCGTCGTGACCGTCGCCGTCGCCGTCGCCGTCGCCGTCGCCGTCGCCGTCGCCGTCGTCGTCGCCGTCGTCGTCGCCGTCCTCCTCCTCCTCCTCCTCGACGCGTCGCGGTGGAAGGCTGCGCAGGGGGCGCCGTTGGCGCGCAGGGGAAGCCGGGGGGGGGGGGGGCGCCGCCACGTCCCCCCGCGGGGCCCGGGCAGCCAACGGCGGGGTTTTTCACCGGGCAGCCAAGCGCGCGAGCCCCGCCCCCGCAGGCCACATCTCCGCAGCTGAAGTGGCCCTGGGACACACACACACACAAATGAATAGACACGAATATAACAGGATTCCCTAAATTTTCCCGATCTTTTCTGGTTTTTTGTCTTCCCCTCTACTTCCCACGACGATGAGGGCGATGAAGACATTTTCCATCATTTCCAACAGCGGTCGTTACCCCTGGGGGTTTGGGGGGGGGCTTGGGGCCCCAGGCAGCGGTAACGCTTGGGCGGGGTATGCCACGTCGGGGCGGGGGTGCGCTGCAATCGCCACGGTATGCGCTGGAGCACTAGCATAGGCGGGGGTCAAAGCACTCCCCGCGTACGACCGTGATCGTTAGGTCACCCGGGGGTGGGGTGGGGCAGGGGGCTGGCCTGGGTCACGACCACGACGCGCCAGAGGAGGAAACACAAAAACACTTACTCGAGGGCGAGGAGGGCGGAGAGAAAGACGGCGACGAGCACCCCAGGAGGAGGGGGAAGCGCAGGCCGCGCACCTCTGCTCGAGGCCGACCCCAGGCGCGAGATGGCGGCGCAGCGAGGCGCCGCGGCGCAGAGCGCGCAGCCCAGCGGGCTCTTTCGGGCGCGCACGCGCGAAGGAGGGAGCACGCCGCCCCCGCGCGCCAGCCGCGGGCGCCGCGTGTGAACGCGAGCCCAAAAATTAGGGGAAAAACATGTCGCCTCCTCCTCCTCCTCCTCCTCCTCCTCCTCCTCCTCCTACCACTACTACGACTACTACGACTACTACGACTACTACTAGTACTACTCATACTACTACTACGACGGCCACTACTACTACTACTACTACTACTACTACTACACCACTACTACTACCACTACACTACTAGTATACTAGTACTACTACTACTACTACTAAACACTACTACTACTACTACTACTACTACTACTACTACTACTACTACGACTACGACTACTACGACTACTACGACTACTACTACTACTACTACTACTACTACTACTACTACTACTACTACTACTACTACTACTACTACTACTACTACTACTACGACTACTACTACTACTACGACTACTACGACTACTACGACTACTACGACTACTACTACTACTACTACTACTACTACTACTACTACTACTACTACTACTACTACTACTACTACTACTACTACTACTACTACTACTACTACTACTACTACTACTACTACTACTACTACTACTACTACTACTACTACTACTACTACTACTACTACTACTACTACTACTACTACTACTACTACTACTACTACTACTACTACTACTACTACTACTACTACTACTACTACTACTACTACGGCTACGACTACGACTACGACTACGGCTACGGCTACGACTACGACTACGACTACGACTACGACTACTACCTCTCCTCCCACTGCTTCTCCCGAACATCCGAGGCCCAGGATGGGCCTGACCAGGGCCGGTGCTTCTCTCTCTCTCTCTGGTTCTCTCCCGTCCCTCTTCTGTTTGCCGATCCTCTACTCTCGTCCGCCCCGAGCGGTCCTCGTCGTCAGGACATCGGGTCACGAATCGGGCCACGGTCGCGGCCGTCAGGGACGATTTGGGCGCGGGCACCCACAGAAGGCCCTCGGCGAGACGCAGTTGCTGGAGAGAATCCAGATGCTGGAGAACCGTCGATAGTCGAAGGTTCGGACCCCCTTTTCGATCCCCCTCTCGTCCGACTCGAGAGGAGGCGGGAGGAGGCAGGGAAGGAGGCGGGGGGAGAAGTGGAAGCGGGAGGCGGGGAGCATGTGGGGGGTGGGCAGACCCTGCAACTCAGGGTTCAGCATCCGACATCCTCGAGCCTCGAACTTCAAACCGTCGAGGGGCATCTGGAGGCCTTCCAAAAGAGGTCCGAGCAGATGGGGACGGAGGACCGCGCCGCATCGCCGATGCATCGTCGATGCATCGGCGACGTCGAAGATGAATCGGCGCCGTCGGTGGGAAACACATCGGGCATCATATCAAGCCGCATTGCAGATGCATCGGCGATGCGGCGCGTCGACCCTCCGACTCATCTGTGGGAGGCGGCCACCTGTGCGCTAATGCGCTAATGTATGCTGGCCTTCTTCCAGAACATGGTGCACAAGTCTTGTACAAGGTCTCGCGATCGCGAATTCACCTTGAATAATGTCCAATGTACTGTGCGAGGTGGCGGTTGCGAACGCAATATCATGGTTGTGTTCTTGTCCCCGGATCTACTCGAACCGCCTCCGGAAGCTCTGGAACACGAGGGCGCATGGAAAGGGGGGGGGCGTGATGAGGCCCGAACGGAAACCCGGACTTCGCGCACGTCGGGACACGCCTGCACACCATTTCGACCCAGCACTGCATGGAATGGCGGCGGAGGGAGGGGGGGGGAATGCCATGCTAGCAAGAAGGCCAGATTCTCAACAAAAGCAGCCGTCGCCGTTCCCGCTCTCCCCCTTGCCCCTCCCTTCTCCCTCCTCGTCCTCATCCCCTTCCTCCTCCTCCCCTTCCTCCTCCTCCTCGTCCTGACGAACAGGGTCGGCACGGCAGGCCGCAAGGCCTCCGACCCATTAAAAACGGCCTCCGGCAGAGGCCTACCGAGCACGCCAAAGCGACAGCCCCCCCAACGGCCCCGCAGCGGCGCCGCGCCCGCGCGGCGCGCGCGCGCGCGGCCGGTCGGCGGCCGCGGGGGCTCACGCGTACGTCGGCTTCGAGTAGTCCGGGGGGCTCCCCGCGGAGCAGGAGAAGTCGAAGATGGGCGTCCCAGGCGCCCTGGCGCACCCCTCTCCGCCGGGTTGCATCGGGGCCCAGGCATCCGACGGGGCGACCTGTGTCATGATGTTCCAGCTTGCCTCAGCCCTGATTGCCGAGGCCTGTCGAGCGCCGAGGAGGTGCCGCAACTGGAGGGCCCTGGAGGGCGACACCCCCGGAAAGTTGTCACGTGTTGGGCCCAAGATTCGATAGCCGCTCGATGCTTCGCCAGCGCTTCGGGCGGACACGATACTTTCCTAGGTGCTCGAAGCTATCTTTTGAATGTGATCCTCAAGTACGATGGGAACAACGTAAGACTTTTGCAGTCTGAACGTCTCTCCCAGATGTCGACCTCCGGGGCCCGTCGTCAGGCCGTGGGATCATCAACGACGGATCGAGGGTGCAAATCTGGACCCAGAGCTCTGGGGCCGCGGATTCAAACAAACAAAACTAATCATCACAGGATGTTTCGGGGCTTGTCTCGGGGAGGGTCGCGGTGGCATTCGCCGGGATGTGTAGATAGGCGGTGGGGGGGAGCTGAATCTGCGGGGGAGGGGGGGGGGAAGAGGAGGAACAGCGAAGAGGAACAGCCGCTACAAGAGCTGTGTCTGCCACGTGTGATCATTCTATCAATCGCATGTACCTGGATGGTGCCGTTAACGACAAGCCCGAAGCCAGCTGATGAAGCTCAGCAAGGGTCCGAACCGACGCAAGCCGAAATGGAGAGGGGTAGGAGCAGGAGATGGAAAAGGCAGGAGGAGTACGGAGTAGGAGGAAAAGGGGAAAAGGGGAGTAGGGAGTAGGAGTAGGAAAAGGGGAGGAGGAGGAGGGAGGAGGAGTAGGGAGCATCAGGAACAGGGAAGGATGGACGAGGAGGGGGACACGGGAGGGGGAGGCAGGAGAGACAGAGAGAGAGAGAGAGAAGGAGAGAGAGGAGGGCGAGGAGGATGAAGAGAACAGGGAGGAGGACGGGGGGCAGCCGAGAAGCAAATAGGGAGGAGGGCCGAAAAAAAAGCCGGCCCTGGTTGGTCTGCAAGCAGGCAAGGCAGGTGCAACACGAGACGTTCGGACGGCAGCGACGGACAAGAACTGCTCCTGAGTCTCGACCGATGTGCAGGCAGATGCCGCTCGTCATGGCCAGCAGACAAGTGAGCATCCACAGATGATCGATCATCCTCTGAAGCTCGAACAGAGCAAGGACGCTGCCGCTCTCGCTCTCGCTCTCGAAGCAATTATCTCCCTCCCATCTCTCCATCAGTCGTGCTCTCTGTCTCACCTTCCCACCGGCGGCGAGAGCATTGTAGAAGTAGCGGTATGCAGAGTAATACCAAGATCAGAGCGAGTACGTCGCACACGATGGCCCAATCGAACTTGGGAATGCCCAACATGTCGCCACAATGCACTGTCAGCTCCGTGAGGGTGTAGTTGGTCCCTCTATCGCTGGCGGGCGCGGAACTGTTGTGGCCGACGCGCGGCGACGATACCAGCGCGGGACCCTCCTGAGCACGGAAGGGGCGACTACAGCAAAAGACGAAGAACGGGCGAATGAGGACAAGGACATGGATGAGAGGAGGCTACTACTGTTACTACTACTGCTGCTGCTGCTACTACTACTACTGCTACTACGACTACGACTACGACTACTACTACTACGACTACTACTACGACTACGACTACGACTACGGCAACGACTACTCCTACGACTACGACGACGACTACAACGACGACAACGACGACGACGACGACGACGACGACGACGACGACGACGACTACTGCAACGACGACGACGACGGCGACGACGACTACTACCACTACGACAGCGACTACCACTTATTCCAGTGCTTCGACTTCTACTCCTACTTCTAACACTACGACTACGTACGACGACTACTGCTACTTCTACGGCTGCTACATCCAAAACTACTTGTCGCTGGACCTGCTGCTTCTACTAGAAAATATACCACTGATAACGCCACACCTTAAATAGCGCAATCACTACTACAGCTACCACCTTCCTTTACTACATCACTAGTACCCCCATCACACCTGACATTACTATAACCACCACTACTGCCAGCCCCACCACTACTACTAGCCCCATCGCTACTACAACCACCACTACCACTGCTGCGACTATACTGTGAGAGGGCGCGTCGAGTACTGCTGTTGACGACTGCTACTGCTGATGCTAATGCTACCGCTGATGAGACTGTGACCATTACAATAGGGGCCCGACCACAAGAAACCGTCCACAAGAAACCCAACCCAGAGACCCCAGGAGTCACGCTTTCCATAGCAGGACCATAGGGCCCCCAAGAAACCCAGGGCACCTTGGAGGCAAGCAGGGTGTCTCTTGGCATGGGCCCCCACTGTATTCGAGATGCTGCCACGAATCCTACCACGAACGGCTTTGCTTGACGCGTGCTCTGGCAGATGGAGGGGGCACAGGCGATGGAGGCGGCGGCGACGGATATAACATCGGCTTCGCCAGGATGCACAACGGCGCCGTGCGAGCATCGGGACGCATCGGATCGCCCGAGCATCGAAATCCAATCGGAGCGAGCCAGGCGAGATCGGTAGGGAATCGGCGATAACGAAACCGCATGCTCCTGAGCAAGGTGGGCCCAACCCGCCAAGATCCGTGATGTATGGGCAACTAGGGTCGATGTTATGTTTGTCCACATGTTCCCTCTCTTGCCAACTTTGAAATGGTCCACGGGCGAGGCAGGCGGGAATGTCCTGGGTACCCGGGCCACGTCTCTGACAAACACCACGCGAGACTGACACACGGCGGTAAATCTGATGATCTTACGAGGGGAGGACACGGACGGAGATAAATGATCGATGATGTTGTTTTTTGACTGATGCGTTGAACATGTTAAAGGATCTTCTAGGCCTCTGGACTCCCCCGCAGTCCCCCGTAGACCTTCGGAGACCACCAGATGGGGAGGGAGAAAGGAGGGGGAGGCGGATGATCCGCTCCGATCGCCTTGGTGACAATGGTGGCATTACGAGGCGAAGGGATGGTACACGGAACCCATCATTGGAATGACCAGCGACCAGCGACGAGGGAACCATCCACCATTTCGGCGCAACCCGCTGCCGCTGATGGGCGGCAAAACTCGAACATCAGCCAGTCTGCTGGTGGTGCTGGCCTGTGGCCATATTCGCTTCCTCCCCCTCCCCGTCTGGAGAAATAAAACACGGCAACAATTCAAAACTTCGGAAGTCCGCGCGGATTGGTTCCGCTAGAATCCACGAAATCCACGCGCCCCCACGAAAGTATATGGTTGTGAGAGTGTGTCGTCTTCGTTCCTCCCCACCAAACCAAAATGTTTAGCAAGCTCGGGCCCCACATGATGATGTTCATGCACCCCACGCGGTGCAGTCTAGGTGGTGCAACCAATGTTGTGCAATCCATGTGGTGCAATGCAACACACGGCAATATAAAGCAACGCACCGAAATTCAACGCAAAACAAAAAATGCAGAGCAAAGCAATGCAAGACAATCAATGCATTACGACGCAAACTCATGTGACACAGTGCACATCTCTGCAAAACAATGCAGATCGAAGCATTGCAAACAATGAAAAGCAATACACTGCAGTGCAATTCAACACGATGCAACGCAGTGCAAAACACGCAAAGCAGATCCAACCAACGCAACTTAATGCAACTCCCATGCGAAACAGTGCAGAGCACTGCAACCGCCTGCAAAATACTGCAAAGCAGTGTGATGGCAACGCGACTGCAGTGCAGTGCGATTGCAGTGCAACGGAGGGGGGGGGGACAACGGGGCGGCCGCGACGGGCGGGGCGGCCGCCGTGGCCGCAGACGAGTCAGTCTGGGAAACAAGGGGCGCCGATGAACGGGAACGGGGCCGCTCTGGGGCCGCGCACGGGCCCGGTTTTTCTTAGAAGAGAGATGGGGAACCCTCAGTGCTGGCGTCGTGTTGTGTTACTCCCATCGTACTCGAGGACCAGATCCCAGAAATAATCTCGAGCACCCCGAGAAGTATCGAACAAGTGTCGAACGAGTATCGCCTCCCAGGCCCGGCACGGGAGCACCCTGAAGTTTCGGTACTTTCGAGGTGCTCGAAATTCTCTCTCTCTGGCGGTCAAGGCTAAAAGAGGTTGGAACATCATAACAGTCGTGACTTTTTCAGCACGTGGCCAGCCAGAGCTCCCGACCCCTTCCCGGGATTCCCTTTGCGTCCCAGATCTTGTTGGCTGAGCCCTGGGGCCCCACACCCTTCCTCGAGAACCCGAAACCGAGGAGGATCGGAGAGACAGAATTGATCAGACGCTCGATTCACCTTTCGGAGCCTCGTCTTCTTCGGTGTCCTGCAGCAACCCCCTGACGGGGCCTCCTAACGAGTTTTGTTGGCCATCGGCAAGGCGAACCCAAACCTTCCCGATGCGGGCAATATGATAGAATGACTAAAAGAGGCCCTTCGGCTACCTTCGGCAGACTCCCCCTAGAAAGTACCCGCAAAGATTTCTGGCTTTCGGCACTTGGCCCAAGTCTGGGGTAGGGGGTCTGGGTCTGGACTGGCGGGGACTTCAGGATTCACTCCTTCCCCTGCTCCTTCTTTCCGGTGTCTCTGGCTTCACTCAACCAGCAACCCAAAACATGATCGAAGGAGCTGCCGTGGAGAAACAAAAAGAAAACTCACGTTTCACCGCTCCCCCTCCTCAAGAGGTGTCGGCTTAGGGGACCGGGGCGTGTTTCATCGATTTCCAAGCGGCCTGGGGAGCTCACACTTCAGTAACTCCTGCCATGTATGGTTTCCTTTCCTCCTTTTCCTCGTCCTCTCCGCCCTCTTCGTCCCCTCCCCTTCCGTGAAACAAAAATACGATGGCGAATACTTGAATGACCTTCCCTGTCCGCTTGGACCAGCTCGCAGGGCCTTGCCTCCTCCGTCTCGCTTCCTCCTGCGGTACTTCTCGTATTAACCTTTTCCTCGGGATCCCTGCTCTCTCTCTCTCTCTCCTTCATTGTCTCTCCTCCATCCTCATCCCCGCCTCCTTCTCTCAACCGCGCGCGCGTTCCGTCGGAGCAATGAACTTGGGGTCCAGCAGCAGGTCCCGTGTGGCCATGGCGGCCCACACGCGTCTCAGGAACAGCCACCTGCCCACGCCGCTTGCACCACCCTGTCCCCCAAAGATCATCGCAATCACTGACAAACACTGCGTGAACTTAAGCAAAATGAGCCGTTGTGCAACCCAAATCGCGCACACGCCTGCATTTACCAAACCAGGCAGTTCATCAACGCAAAGCACTTTGTACCGCATGGTGCCCACACTTTGGCATTCCAGCTTCGTCGGCTACTATACCGTACCACGCACGATGTACCATAAGCCACGTCACGCTGTCGGGTGGTCCGAGCAATCGATTCGTGGCGCCTGCTCCAGTCACACGTGCTATCAAACATTATCTGCCCGCCATGCACCATTGACCGACGGCGCGTCAATGTAAACATGAGTCTACGCTAAAAGCGCACGTGTGTCCGCTAAGCAAAGTGCGGCACTGCAAATCTGAACAAACCCTCGCGAACACATGCGGCTTCAGGCCATGCAATAGCGCAAACAACCTGCATGATAACACCAAAGTTATGCAACTGCGACACGCACATCATAACGCTCCCCCCCCCCGACCAGAAGCTCGTGGCTCCGGAAATGGCAGGAATACGCACTATACCAGCAGATCGTTCCGTGTCCTGCGGAGTAGCGTGCGCAACGCCAATGTCATCAAACTACTGCAGGACACGGATGACTGTGGTGTGGTATCGAGTGTCGGTGGAAATCTGTAAAACATGCTCGACCCCCCCCAAATGGACGTCATGAAATTACCGTGGGACCTGACCATCCGTCTTTCTAAGAATCCTCTGGCCTAGCCCAGCTCGTCAGGTGCTAAACAAAAACTCCAAACTATGATGTGTCCCCATCCTTTTCTCTTAGCTCAGAAATCCCCTTCGCGGCGATGTTAATGATGCGATCCTTCGGTACTTGATTTCTTGTTTTACCTCCTACGCCAGCTGCGCCCCAAATACTCCATAGAGCCAAACGCGTGCGGCGGCACGCGCATGGAGGGCAAAAGAAGGCAGGCGGGAGCGAGCGGAATCGACCCCCCCCCCGCGGGGCACCAGGGCAGGCGCACCTCTACTTGCCGGCCTTCAGCACACCAAGTCAAGGAGCGCCAACCCCCACAATATTTCACGGCGCCCACCATCCGCGTTGTGCCTACTCCCCGTGCAGCGGCGACGGCGCGGTCTCTCGATTGACCCAACTTGACTCGCCAGGCCCGCGGCGCGCCAAGCGCTGATCGCTCAGCCGACTACATCGCCCCGCAGTCCGCGAGGACCTCGATTACCTTTTCCGGCCGTCTTTGTCCTTGTTGTGATCCCATGTCTTCTCAGGATCATATGTCCACGATGCTTTGCAATCTATTGTCGCGCCATCCGTTCCCCGAGCTCTGGTCACCACCACTGGCACTGCCAGCGTCGTTACGCCTGGTCCTGCCACCCGAGCGCCAATCGCCACCACGGACACTGCCAACTACGGTAGCTTCATTCCACCATCTGTCACCGTCCTTCCAACAATTCTTGCTGCCACCACTATCCCAATGACAGTCAGTTGAGGAAGCGTTAACCTCCTTTGCCTCCGTCCTTGTTTCCACCACGTCCACGGCCCGGTCCCGGGGCCTGGCGAGGGCCCCCCGAGGCCGACAACGGCCACAAAACTCGCGCCGTGATCTTTCCACGATGCGAGCATGTCTGGGGACCTACTGTATTGGGCACTCGAAAAAGCCCAGATCGCCCTGTTCTGGGTAGGGCCCAGCTTGGTGTTCCTCGTTGTGGCTGATGTACTGGACACTACCCACGTGGGACATAACTACTGTGGCCCAAGAAGCTCAAGTTGAGGGCTATCCGTGGCAACTCCAGGGCGAAAGCAACATTTGCCCCCACCCCCCCCCCCCCCCTGGGTTGGTCGCCCCTGGGCCCGTCCCCGCTGTGATGAGGCGGTACGATAAACGTGAATTGATGTGACGTTGTTTCTGGTGTTTCCTTGCCGTCGCCCTCGCAATCACGCGCCACAGCGTTGTGCGCCAGCCTGCATCTGACACACATGCATATGTATATATATATATATATGTATATATACACATATACAGAGAGAAAGGGAATGATACAAATATACAATAGTCACATACACATATGTACGTATGTACACATGTGGACCGGTGTGTATCTGACCTATATCAGATGTATTCTCGCCTGCAGCTCAGCCGTATGGAGAAACATCGCCAGATAGCGCCGCCACCGCAGGAAGGCCGCCCTGGCGCCCGCCCGCGCGCTCCTGGCCGCCACGGTGCCCAGCGCCGGCGCCCAGGGAGGCGCCCTTCGGGTGTCCGCCGCCGCAGGGGCTGGCCGCCGCCGCCGCCGGTCGCAGCTCGTCTGTCGCTGCCGCCGCCCGCCGTCCGCCCGGCACGGCCGCCGCGGCTGGCCGCCGCCGCCGGCCGCCGAGCCGCGGTCGGATCGTTGCCGCCGCCGGTCGCTGCCGTCGATCGTGATTCGCCGGTCGCCCGCCGTGCGTCGCTGGGCGTCGCGTGATGTGGGGTGCGAGGGAGCGGGGGGGCGAAGAAGCGTTGCACCTTTCGTGGACCTTCTGGGCTCCAGAGGGTCCCCTTGCCAGACCCGTGGCGCCATGATCCGTTTGCAGCGTCGACCCCCAGAGGTCTCGACCCGTTCCCCTGCACCAGCTTATCATCCCGAGGTGGTTCTCTTACAGCCCCGAGGCCCTGTAAAAGCCCCAGAGGCAGACAATAACGAAAATCTCCCGTCGAGATTTTCTTGTGACTCGAGGGGGTCTGGGATCAGGGCCCCCAAGGTGCACCATAGGTGCACCGTTCACCACCACCCTTTGTTAATCGCTCCCCCTCGACGCTCGACGGCTGGCACCGCGGCCGCCGCTGCCGTGGTTTCCGCCGCCGCTGTTCCGCCGTCCGTTGTCCGCCGCCGTCGCCGACGTCGCTCGTGAGGTCGCCCGTCGTCCGTCGCAGGAACGCCTGGGTCAGCTCGCCGCGTGGGTCCGGCCGCGCGCCGGGCCTGCGGGTGCAGACCACCAGGCGTGGCCACGCACAAGCTGCGATGGCCGGCCACGCCCGTGGAGTCCCGCCTGCCAACTTCCCCTCTGTGGCTTCGGCCTCGCCTTGGTGGCCGCAGTCAGCTGCGCCACAGGCTGCACGACAGCTTCAACCATGAGTGCACCATCGGCTGCGCCACAGGTTGCACCACGTGGGTCGCGCCATAGGCGCAACTCCATCGACCGCGCCATCGGATGCACCGTGGCTTGCGCCGCAGGTGCACTGTCGTTTGCGCCTCAGGTTGCGCAGTGGGTTCCACGACAAATTGCGCCATGGGTTGGGCCACGGTTTCTGCCGTGGGCTGCGCCAAATATTGGGCCTCTGGTTGTGCCGTAATGCTTTTCCAATAAATTGCGCTGCGTCAAGGGTAATGCCGTAATTCTTTTGTGCCATAGGTTGCACCGCAGCTTGCACCATGGGTTGCGCCACTGGTTCGAACCTCGGCCGCAGAAGGGCAAAAGTCCAGTCAGTCAGTCAGGTCACTCCCCGAGCAAACCCTGCGGGTCTACGCCATGAGAAAACGAAACACGTAAGGAGACCTCCTTCATCCTCTCGCCTCTCGTTTCTCAAACTTGGGGAGACCTACGTCTCGGGGTGGGCGGACTCGGGTTGGCCTGACGGGGCCGTCACGAAAACGACGAGACCCACTCTGAAATTTGACGCGACCCACCGCTGCAAACGTCCCTCGAAAACTGGACCGTCAGAATCGGGGGCGGGCTCGTCTTCAAGAGTAGGCGAACCCGAGTCCTGGCGTACAATGGATGCCCGAGACCCCAGGATGTCCATTGATTTTTGGTACGGGAGCGTCACGCTTTCCATAGCAAAACCATCGAAACCAAGAAACCCAGGGCACCCTGGAGGCAAGCTGGGTGTTTCTTGGCACGGGCCACCGATGTACTCTTTTGCTTGAGCTCCTCGCTCCAGGCCTCCACGTCCCCGATGAGGAACTGGACTCGCCGCTGCGGAGGGGGAAGGAGCGAGCAGGCTCCGGCCCCTCCGTCGGAGCCGCTAGGAGGACACACAACCTCACCCCTCTCGGACCCGGTGAGCACCTCGCCACGCCGGCGAGGAGCACAGGCGAGCGCAGCGCCGCTCGAGGGAGCAGACAAAAAGCGAGGAGAAAGCGCCCTCGGGTGGGCAACCCGCAGAGACCCAGGGGGGGGACGGTGCACGGTTTCCCCCGGGGCCGTAGGCGACCCGAGGAGGAGGAGGGGGAGGAGGAGGAGGAGGAGGAGGAGGAGGAGGAGGAGGAGGAGGAGGAGGAGGAGAAGGGGGAGGGGGAGGAGGCAAGCTAGGTGCGCTCGCGTCATATCTGACATCCTACCCCTCCCTCCCATCCCTTACCATGGCGTAGATCCCCACTCTACTCGCACAGTCGGATGTTGAGCAGGGCAATGATCCCGAACGGGTACGCGATGCAGTGTAGAGCACGGCATGGCATGGCGTAGACGAGCACCGCAAAGCGTAGTATGTCACAGCATGGCGTGGCGTGGCGTAGTGAAGAATTGTATCACAAAGCTTTGCAACGCAAAGCATGGCCTCGCACAGCGGCCCCGAACATAACATTGCCTAGTATGGCGTTGAAGATCAAAGCGTAGCATGGCGTAGCATGACGTGGCACTTACGCGCTGGATATGACAGCTGCAGCTGAAGGCATGGCATCGCGCAGCGGAGCGCAACCCAGCATTGCATTGCATGCCGTGGCATGGCACGGGAAATGACGCCAGCGCTGCAGCGGGAGCACGATGCGGAACGAGCGGAAGCGCGGACATGAGGCCAGCGCTGCAGCGGGAGCACGATTCGGAACGAGCGGAAGCCCGAAAATGAAGCCCGCGCCTCAGCGAGAGCATCATTTGGAAAAAAAGCCCAAGCGAAAACCCAACTCCGGGAAATCCTGTGTAAAAAACAGTGCGCGGAGGGGTGCCCGCTATCTTCCGCACGCCATCAGGGGATGGAGGAGAGTAGTATTCATATTGTGTAATTGTAGATGGAGGAGGGGGAGGGGGAGGAGGAGGAGGAGGAGGAGGAGGAGGAGGAGGAGGAGGAGGAGGAGGGAGGAGGAGGGATGAGGAGGAGCGGCGCCTGAAGGGGAAAGGCTCCAGGGGACGATCCCTGAATCACAGGGCCCCGCAGGGGAGGGCTCAGGGGGGCCGGAGGCGGAGGCCCTCCCCCCGACGAGAGGGCAGAGCTCCCAGCAGCAGCGGCCACGCTGCCTCCTCCCCCGTGCAGCGACGAAGACCGGGCGGCGACCGAGTCCTCCTCAAAGGCGCCGAGAAAACAGCGCGCGATCGCAGCTTCCTCGCCCATGCCGTCAAGCGGCGGCGGCGGGACGGTTGCAGGGGCCGGTGCAGGAGGGCCAGCTCCTTCGGACGGCTCACCACCCTCAGATAGGACAGCGCACTCGCTCAAACGAGAAGGCTGCTGCTGCGTCCCTGCTGGTTCGCCCAGAGCAGAAGGGTCGCGCACTTTGCAGCTTGCACAGATGCAGCACACTTCGCCAGAGGGGTCTCGTAGAATGGTGAAAACTCCGACCGAGTCCCACGAGGGGGGCGGGGGGGCCCGAGACCGCCAAGTCCAGCAGCGGACCAGCAGTCGATTCGTCTAAGAAGTCCTCGCAACATAGTCAACCCGTATGGTAAGGATGCGCGATACGGATGCAAGGGCCTTGGACGCCCATTTCGAAGCTGTTCGAGCGGGGCGCGGCCAACGGAAATGGCCAAGGATGGACCGAGGAGGCAAGGATGCAAGGGTACCCTTGGGAAGGCTGCCCATCCTTCCTGTGCGGGTTGACTCTACAGTCGGGGTGGATTGAAGGGCACGCGCGAGAGGGTACAAGACTCTCCCGAGGGCCACATTGCCATATGAGTGTGGAAGCATGGGTCGCGAGGCACAGGACACGAGGGTACCCTTGAGTTGGCAGGGTCGGCCTGCCAATCGGCCTCGACTGTATTCCCCAGAGCCTTGCTCTCGCCGCACGGCTGCCTACAAGCTGGGTGCGGGCGGCCGCGGCCTCTGGCGGCGATGCGCTGCCCGTGCACGCGGCCGTGCTCTCGCCCATTGCCCTGGCTGCATCGGATCCTTCTCGGGCCTGCCTGGCCGTGCTCCTCCCGCTCATCGACCCGCCACTTCACCTGTGCTGCTAGGAAGGTGCTCTGCTGGGGAGATGATCCCCCCGTTGCCGTCCGCCGGCAAGCCGCGCGCTCATGTCTCATTCCGTGCGTATGTCTCAAGAATTCAGAACCGCAGCGTGTTGGAACAAACCGGAGAGCACGATCTCAGTAAGGACTTGCTCGAGGGCCAGATGAAGCTCTACAAGGGAGTCGCCGCTCTTCCTGAGGAGCACCGACTGCGCAGGCTCACGTGCAGAGCCAACCCGAATCTGCCTCGAATCTGGGACGAGGACCGTTCACGCAGGAGGCCGACACAGCATCGGGCTCCCAGCGTCTACGCAGCGCTGCCCCGACAAAGGCGTGAGCTGCGCGGGGCGCCGTTTTTGGGGGAGGGCCGATGCGACTTCTGGGCGCCAGGCTTGCTTGCTTGCTTGCCGTCTGCCCGAGATTTCTCAAGCCATCGGATGTCAGACGCGCGGGCGCGCGCACCGCGCGCCTCGCGGGCGGCGCCCAGCGGCGGCGGCGCCCTCCGCGCGCCCGTCGCCTGCATCTCGAGGCCCTGGGCTGGCCACGGCGGGGCAGGAGGGCGGCAAGTGAGGAGCGCAGCGGGGCAGGAGGACCGTGAGACCCTCGCGTCTCGAGTTCTTCGAGCCCGGCGTTTCCGCCAGGCTTCGGGCCCCGCCCGGCGTTTCCGCCAGGCTTCGGGCCCCGGGGCCCTCACAGACCGATGCGGTTCGGAACACGGCGCAAAAAGGTGGGGTCTGTGAAGGGCAACTGGGACACACAAATAAACAGACACAAATAACCAGATTCCCAATATTTCCCATATCATCTAGGTCTCTGTCTTCCCCCCCACTTCCTGTATTTTCCCTTATTTTGTGGGGAATAGACAATTGATAGTGTCTGTGTTTTTTCCGCTCCTGGGTCCAAGGCCCTGGCCGTGATTTTTCTCACGGTGTGAGGCGCTTTGTTCGCGGCTGCGTGGGATCTCAGAGGAGCGCACCGAGGGGGCAGGAGGCCAGCGAGGGGCAGGAGAGACGGAGGAGGATAGCGAGGGGACGGAGGAGGGCAGGGAGTAGGGGGCCACATGCGAACCCTACCCCTACCCCCCACGATTTCTGAGGGGGAGGGTGGGGTTCACTTCGTTCGCCTTCCCCACCTTCCCCCTCAGAAATCGTGGGGGATAGGGGTAGGTAGGGAGGGCCGGAGGAGGGCCGGAGGAGGGCCAGAGAAGGGCAGGAGGAGGGCAGGGAGGCAGCACTGTGGCAGGCGTCCTCCTCCCCAGCGACAGCTTGCTCTGCCCTCGTCGGAGAGCCCCGCCGGGACAGCGGCGGCCTTCACCCGCGCTCGGAGTGTTGTTTTATTGGTCAGCGGTCCTGCTTATGGCTGCCGCATGTCTGGAACGGGTTGGGTACGTTCCTGGGCGATTGGGCCTCCTGGAAGCTTCTCGTCGCCACGGCCGGATCCGCATCGAGAAACAAGGGTCCAGGGGACCGACTTCGAGCGGACCCGGGAAAATGAGGCCCAGCTTGGGGATACACGATGGGGGACGTTGGTCGTCGATCGGGGGTGCGTCCAGATAGCCTCCTGGGGGTGTTCCCGAGTTCCTCTTCTTTTGTGAGCGGCCGATTATTGTTTGGGGGAACTCGGGGTCCTGGACACCTTCCGAAATGATTGTTTCGATCCGCGGCGCGCTCTGGACCCGTTTTAGACGGCCCAGGGGCCCGACAACGGGCCCACAGAGTCCGAAATCAAGGACACACGCCTGGATCCTGAAATTCATGTCGTCGGAGATCCTGAATTGCAGAGGCCCCCTAGACGGGGTCGAAGTAGATAGGGCCAGAGGACCGCACCGCATCGCCGATGCATCGGCGATGCATTGCATCGGCGATGCATTGGCGATGCTCGGGCGATGCATTCCCGACGTGAAGCAAATCGGCGTGAAGCAAATCGGGCTCCACATCGAGTCGCATCGGCGATGCATCGGCGATGCGGCGCGGTCCTCATATCACACCCGCTTCGACCCCGTCTGGGAAGCCTAAGAGATTGGGGCGAGGAGCCGCTTGTGAATTCGATCCTCGTCATCGTCAACGTGTCGTCGTCGCCGTCGTCGAGGAGCCGCCTGTGTCGTCGTCGTCGTCGTCGTCGTCGTCGTCGTCGTCGTCGCGGCGGCGGTCTCGGCGCAGGGCGCGGCTCTGCACGGCGAGCGCCTCTCGTGACCCAGCGGACTCGGCCGGTGCACCGATGCTGTCGAACAGCGGGCTTCGACGTTGTCGAGGCATCGCTGCTGTCGACGCTGTCGGAGCATGCGCGCGCGCGCCCGTCCCCGCCGGAGCGGCGGGTCGCCGCGAAGCGCGCCCTGGGGGGGGGGGGGGCGGAGGGCCGTGCGTGCGCGCAGGAGCTGCCTCGGGGGGCGTGCGAGGGGGGGGCGACCGGCCCAGGGGAAGGGGAAGGAGGGGCCTGGCCTGGCCCATGATGGACAGTCGGGGCCGATCTGCACCATCGAGCGTGCTTCCGTAGATTCGAGGCTCAAGGCTGGAGGGCATGCAGCAGCCCACTTCGACTTCCCAAGGGTCGTTGAGCTATCCTGTTTTTGCAGGTGAGACCGCGTAGCCACATTCAAAAGAGAAGGAGGGGCGAGCCGAAGTCGGCGATCTCCGGCAGCGCGCCGAGGGGGGGAAGTGGGAGGGAGCCGGCCTTCTCGGGAGGCGGCGGGGCTTCTCAAAGCCCTGGCACCTTCTGGGATGTCCTCGGCGTCTTCGGGCAAGGCTTGGAGCACTTCTCAAAGGCCGGAGGCCTCAAGGCTTGCTAAATCTCACTTTCCACCCCTGGGCGTGCCGCCGAGATACATCGCCGATGGATCGGCGAGGCCCTCGATTGCAAGACCGAACGTTCCTGAGCGGGGGGAGCATTGCGTGCGCGTGGGAACTGTCTCGGAAGGCAGGCGACGGGGAAAAGAAACCCAACGTTCGGGAGAAGTGGGCAGAAAAACTGAGCAAGGTTATTGTTGAAATGAGCCGGTGCTTTCGACAGAGAGCGACCACGAGGCTCCCATGGTGCTGCCAAGAATCAGCTGCTGCTTGCTGTAAAAGCTGGCCCGATCGGACGACACCTGTCCCCCAAGACAGACGGACGCTGACAGGAGGAGCTGCCTGTGACTCTTGTTGCCAGGGCGAGCGGTCGAGAGGAGGAGGAGGACACTTGCTCGCGAACCTGGGGAATTTAAGCCATGGCCCCGAGAATCGGCAGTGGCCCCAAACTCAGGCAGGACCAAAGCAAATCAATGCGCTGAAATTCGTTCGGATATACGGTACGAATTCACCCACAGAACGTATCGGCGCCGCGCCGGGCACAGTGAGAGGCGACGGGAGGAAAAGGGGAGGAAGGGAGGAGCGGAGGAGGATAGGAGGAAGCAGGAACGCAAAGCCGGCGAGAACGGGACGTGCGGGGTCGTTGGCGACTCCCTGGTCAGGAGCGGCAGGCGACAACGGGGGGCCCTCCACCAGCCACCTCCGCGTGCAGTGGCACAGACGCCGATTATCGCTAGCACTCGGGCGCGAGCGAGGACGAGACAGGCAGAGGCGGAGAGCAGGCCCGCCCCTCCAGGGAGGGGGTAGCGGGAGGGAAGAGGCGAGGGGGGAAGGCAACTCGAATCGGCTGCTGGATTCAGCGTGTTCCGCAGTCCCTCGACCACGCGGCCGGGACAGACAGGACACAATAACTTGCACCACATCGCGCCAAAGTATTTGGCGGTAGCAGAGGGGAGGAAGAGAGGCAGACGGAGGGGAAGAAAAAAGGGGAAGGGAGGAGCGACAAGATGCAACCCTTTGTGGCTGCCTCTGGAGGCGGCAGGGGCGTGCACTGCCACGACCCCCCCGCGCCAACGCAGGGGCGAGAGAAGAAAAACAGGCCTAGCGGTGCGTGGGATCACTTCGTGCCAGGGCACGGGGGGCAGGCGGAGGAGCACAAGGAGGAGCGGAACGGCACCGCGAGGGGTAGGAGCAGGACCCAGTTTCGCTTTACATGCAAACGTTGGAGAACGTCATACACGTCGTGCTGCCTCCCGGAGGGCCGTGCGAAGAAGGCTCTGCCCCCGCTTCGGGGGCGCGCAAGCACGGATCGGCGATCCATTGGATGTGGCGCGCGGTCGCCAAATCCATGGATCGGGGGAGGTGCCCTCCCCAGAATGCGGCCGGTGCCGCCTCGCTCGGCGGCGCAAATCCGCGACTGCCCACGGAAACGGGGCCCGTCGCTGGTCCATGCCCCCTTGATCCACGCTTGCGATCGCCTGACCGTCGGCCAGGGGCAAAGATCCCGTGCGGCGCGCGCTGAGGACCGCCGTGTGCCAAACGTGCGTGGCCCACGCGCGCGCTGCCGCGCCGCCCTCTGCGGTGTGCCGTGAGCCCGCCCGCCCTCTGAAACACGAAAGGCCAGGAGGCCCGACCAGTCGACTCTTGCAAAAGGACTCGGTCGGGCATGTCCTCCTACAGGCGGATTGTGGACGACGAACGACGAAAAATTGTCAACACATACTCCACACATGATCCAACGTAATCCAAACATCGTCCCCAGACTAGTCCTTTACCATTTTTGCAGATCCCCTCAGGCCCGACCTGATGACGGGAAGGCGCCCCACTCAGACGGTATCTGGGGGCCGAAGAGAACAGCATTCCCCTCAAGCAGCGGAATGGTCGGGTTAGGTCGGACATGTCCCCCTAGGCGGATTTTGTGGAGGAAGAATTTGAAATAGTAAAACAAATGTTGCAAAAATGTTCGAAACATCCAAAATCGTCCCCAGACTTGTTTTTTTGACTGTTTTTCAGAGGGACGTGCCCGATTTCATGGTCGGGGGACCGGCTCGGGGGGGGGGGGGGGGGGAACATCGAGCCGGACGCGGCGGCACACGTCGCCGCTGCACCATGTGGGCGACAGGCCCCCGGCAGCGCAGCCGCACGCTGCTGGGCGGGGCGGGCCACCGGGCCAAAAGTGTCGGCGACGCACGGGCGACGGGGGGTCGGTTCTCAGGTCGGGCGTGTCCCCCCATAGAGGCGGATCTTGAGGCGAAACAATCACACAAAAACGCCAACAATTTACCCAAATAGTCCAACAATTATCCAGACAATCGTCCAGACAAAATCCCCAAACTATCCTTTGACTATTTTTGAAGACTCCTTCAGTAGGGGGACAGGCCCGATTTCATCCTATCGGCGATGCATGGGCGATTGGGGGGTCGATGCGCCCACCTCTCAGCCTGTCTCCGCCTCACGCTGCTCCTGAGTCCGACGATCTCTGCTGTCCCTCGACTCGCGCCGGAGCGTCCGCGATTGGATCCCTGGATTTACCTCGACCTATCCAAACTCACCTCTCGGGGTAAACGAAAGGGGGGGATAGCAAAGGGCAGGGTAGAGAATCAGCTCACGTAGCTGATTTTCCCAGCGCCTCCAGGCGCCAGGAGGCGCCCATTTATCGAGGAATGGGCCCGGCGGCGGGGCCGAAACCAGCTGCACGCAGCAGATTTCGTAACACCTCTTTCGTTCGGCCCGAACCCCGATCACTTCC